ATTGTAATCAGTGGTAGCCCCTGTATACCTTAGACGAGGTGGAGAAATGGCCACTTAATGGAACTTTACAATATAACACCATGTTACAGTTAATGTTTTTAAAGCTGGAAGGTACATGGGACGAAGTTGCGTATGCCAATATATTTTTTCACTTTGAGAAACCACTCAGAGTGGTCCCACCCAGAGGGACTGTGAAATTAACATCCTGCCATAGGATCCTTTAGTTTTAGCTTTAGAAGAAGATAGGCAGAAGGAGGCAAAACCCCTAAAGCGGTGTTGTTCAGCCTGTAGCATTGGTCAAAGATCTTGGAAACCCTCTCTAAGGAGAAAGGGAGTTAGAAGAGAGGCTGGAGGATTGTCTCTCTCCTCCTCAGAGGAATGAAGGCTGCCCTACCCCCTGCAGGAAGACAGTTGTTCATTGGTAAATGAAGTTCAAAGGAATGACTCAGGAACAGAGGAAACTCCCACAACTCAGAATGATTATGGATCCAGGAAGGACTGCAGATTAATGATTCAAGACAGCATTGTTTGGCATGTAGTATTGGTAGGCAATGCAACAAATGTGAGGAAGGAGAAGAGGATGTGGATACGTTGTTTCAGAGTAAGGAGAAATGAGAAGTGGCTGCACCAGGTGGAAGCAGCAGAGAGGGGAGCGTAGCACAGACCTAACTAAGGACAGATAGTTCTGGTGAAGGGAAAGTTTACGATCCCTCTTAGACAGGTGGTAGAAGGGTTTCGGACCAGTTTGGGTAAAGGTGCTGTTTGTGGTATCAGATTTGAAGGATTGGAAAGATATAGCAAGCATATATAGGAAGGACCCTGGATATCTCAGTTGATTAAGATAGGATATAAAGATTATAGAAACAGGGTAAGGAGGTTGAGTTTTTAGTGGATAAGAGTACCTCATACTTTGTTTTAAATAAAGAATTAATACCCCTGGATACAGAATTTGTAAAGGTAGTAGGAGCAACTGGCCAAAAGGAAAAGGCACAAGTTTTAAAACCAGTTTAGCTCCAGTTAGGAAAACAAGTGGGATATCAAATTTTTGTATTTGCTAAATTCTCCCAAACCTTTATTCAGCTGGGATTTGTTGGAATTTTTGAGGGCTGAAATTATATTTGAGGGGGGGAGCAAGTGGAATTTACAGTAGGAGAATAAGAACTAACTAAGGTATTGAGTTTATCCTTGACCCAAACTCCAGATGTTCCTAAGAATCTTAGACAAAAAGCTTTGGATCAAGTATATTCAGGAGTCTGGGCCACGGAGGTGCTTGAAAGAGCAAAAAGGGCACTACAAGTAGTGGTAACCCCACTAGAAGGGACTGTCCCAGTTAAAGTTAGGCAATACCCATTATGGAAGGAAGATAGACAAAGGATCAGATCAGTAATAGACTTTTTTTGAAATATGGGTTGCTGGTTGAGAGTGAATCTGAGTATAACAGCCTCATTTTACCAATTAAGAAACCTGATGGAAGTTATTGATTAGTTCAAGACTTAAGAGAAATTAATAAAATTTTGGAGGACATTTATCCAGTTTTAGCAAACCCATGTACTCTTTAACAAAATTAAAAGAAACACAGATTTAGTTCTAAAGGATGTCTTTTTCTGTCTGCCTGTGGAACCCAAAATTATTTGCCTTTGAATGGGAAAACCCAGAAACAGGGAGGAAAGCTCAGCTGACTTGGACAGTGTTACCATGAGGTTTCAAAAATAGTCCTACAATTTTTGGAAATCAATTAGCTAAAAATCAGGAATCCTAACAGATGCCAACGTCAGAAGGAACCTTGTTATAATATGTTGATGATGTGATAATAGCTACCAAGACTGAAGAAGATTGTATCTGTGAGACTGTGAGTCTCTTGAATTTTCTTTTAGGATTAAATGAATATCAAGTATCACAGTGAAAAACTCAAATTGTGCAACAAAAGGTTAAATACTTAAGATACAAAATATCTGGGGCTGAGAGACTTGGGGACTGATCGCAAGGACTGTCAGACTCTCTTGCCCATAACTGTGAGAGAACTTTATTCCTTTCTGTGAATGGCAGGATGATGCAGATTATGAATGTACGGATATGGACTGCTGATAAAACCCCTGTACAGACTTATTAAGGAATTTGGGAAGGTTCTTATCTGGAACAGGGAGGCCAAGGTGGCCTTTTAGAATTTCAAAAGAGAATTGATGAGAGCTCCAGTTTTGGGGCTCCCGGATATCTCTAAAGCCTTTTGGCTGTTCTCACTTGAGAGACAATGGATTGCTTTGGGGGTATTGGCATAAAGATTGGGACTCTATAAGAGAGCTGTGGCTTACTTCTCGAAACAACTAGATGAAGTAAGCAAAGGATGGCCAGGCTGCATACGAGCAGTAGAAGCGGTTGTTTTGAACATACAGGAAGTCCAGAAATTCACCTTAGGACAAAGGATTCCTGTGATGGTGACACATGCAGTATCAGTTGTCCTGGAACAAAAAGGGGGACATTGGCTATCCCCTTCAAGAGTTCTGAAACACCAAGCCACCTTAACTGAACAAGACAATGTGGACATCATTATCACCACTAATGGTGTCAATCCAGCTTCTTTCCTCCTGACAGCTCACACATGACTGTCTGCAGACCCTGGAAGCTGTATATTCAAGGTGACCAGGCTTGAAGGAAGAGCCTCTGGAGGAAGCTGAATCATGGTACATGGATGGAAGCAGTTTCATAAGACAAGGAAAATATGAAGTGGAGTATGCCATGACTACCTCTCACAAGGTAATCGAAGCAAAACCTGTAGCTGTGGGAACATCAGCCCAAAAGGCAGAAATAATTGCATTGGTCAGAGCTTTGGGGTTAGCTAAGAGAATAAGAATTAACCTATGGACTGATTCTAAGCATGCCTTTGGGGTTGTGCATGCTCATAGGGCCATTTGGAAAGAAAGAGGACTTTTGACAACCCAAGACAAATCAATAAAGCATTGAGAAGAGATCTTGAGACCTTTGAAAGCAGTACGACTACCCAAAAAGGTTGCAATAGTACATTGTAAAGAGCATCGGAAAGGTAACACTGATCAAGAACGGGCAAATAATCTGGCAGATTGAGAAGCAAAAGGAGTGGCTGAGGAGACGGAAATTGAGATAGCTGTTGCTTTAATACCAGATGGTAAAATAAGCAGGCCTAAATTAAAGCCAGAGAAGTTGAACATAATAAAGAGAATCAAATTTTAATCAAGGAACAAGAGGGACATATATAAGCTAAGGGGTGGGTGCACCTCCCTGATGGGAAGACAGTAATACCCTCCAAATTATTATGGAAAATAGTTTTGGCAGAACATGAAAAAACTCTTTGAGGAGCTGATGCGCTCAATAAATATCTGACTCAAAGCGTGGTAGGATGTAATTTGTATACTACAGTTAAACAGGTAACTCAACAGTGCGAATTATGTTTAAAAAAAAAAAAGATCCAACCACTAGAGCCAAAGTTCAGTTTGGGCAAATTGAGAAAGGAAATATTCACAGTATACAATGGCAAATTGATTTTTCTGAACTCCCGAGAAAGTAGGGTGTTTAGATATATATTAGTATTAGTTGACACCTTTTCTAGATGGCCAGAAGCAAAACCTTTTAGAACTAATAAATCTTGAGAAGTTACTGAAGTTTTGTTACATGAGTTTACACCTAGATTTGGTATATCCAAAATGATCTCATCAGATCAAGGAACATATATTTGTGCAGTAGTAGTGCAGGAAATAAGTAAAATATTAGGAATAGATTGGCAATTACACACTTCACATAGGCCCCAGGCAAGTGGACAAGTGGCAAAGATGAATCATATTTTACAAATAGTGAAAATTTGCCAAGATATGTATGCGAATATATGATAGCATTGGGAAAAGAGTTGGAAACTAAGCAAGCTAATGTTGAGAACATGATCCCAAGGTTTAGACCACCCAATACATCCTTTTAAACTAGGAGATTTGATATATGTTAAAGTTCTTGCAGGAAATCCACTGGAGAAGTGGAACGGACCATTCCAGATTCTGCTGATGACCTACACTGCAGTCAAGATTGGTGAACATCCTGCTTGGATCCACTACTCTAGAGTGAAGAAGGCTCCAGGAAAACAATGGTCATCACAAGTAACTGGACCCACCAAATTACAAGTGTATCGATAGCATTGTTAATAAGTTTGACCTACGGTTGGGAAAAGAATACCCATTACCAGACACTTAAAAGCTTAGCAGATGCTACAAATGCAAGGGACTGTTGGATTTGTACTGACTTATGAGGAGAAGACATGAGGTTACCCTTCTCTGGTGTAGCTGCATCAAACTGGACTACTTGGTATAACAAAATGTTTAAATTTAATGAGACTAGGAAATCATGTAGCTACAGGAAGGAACAAAGAAATGCCAGTAGTAAACAGGGACCAAAATTGAAATACAAATTTTAAACCGAACCCTGACATGCATGACGTGGGATGTTAAGGACGATGGGGATGTAACTGGTCTTGCAAAAAAGAATCCTGGGTGTGGTAGTCCAGCACTTGTAGGGCAGTGTGTTGGCATCTTAGATAACCTGAAGGTCTACCACCCCTCAACATTGAAAACTATGTACTCAACTCCCTCCATGAAATGTTTCTACACAAATGCACATAGCATGGACAACAAACAGGAGGAGCCCGAGGCCATTGTGCAACAGGGTAACTATGATATAACAGCCATCACGGAAACCTGGTGTGATGACTCCCGCAACTGGAGTGCTGCAATCAATGGGTACCAACTTTTCAGAAGGGATAGGCAAGGAAGAAGAGGTGGTGGCATGGCCCTCTGTGTTAAGGAGACATGTGAAAGCATCCAGATTAATGAAGGTGATGATAGGGTCGAATCCTTATGGATAAGAATCAGGAGTAAAGCCAGTAAGAGTGATATAGTGGTGGGAATCTGTTATAGACCACCCAATTAGGACAAAGAATTCTTTATAAGCAGTTGAGAGAGGTTTCACAATCGCTACCCCTTGTGTTCATGGGGGACTTTAACTTCCCTAATGTCTGCTGGAAATACAACACAGTAGAGAGACAACAGTCCTGGAGGTTGCTGGAGTGTGTGGAAGATAACTTCCTCACACAACTGGTGAGGGAGTCAACCAGGGAAGGTGCCCTCCTGGACCTGCTTCTTGTGAACAGGGAAGAACTTGTGGGGGAAGTAAAGGTTGGAGGTTGTCTAGGGCACAGTGATCAGGAGATGATTGAGTTTTCAACCCTCGGTAAAATAAGGAGAAGAGTTAGTAAAACTGCCACCCTAGACTTCTGGAGGGCAAACTTTGGCATGTTCAGGAGACTGATTGAGAAAGTGTTGGCCCTGAAGGATATGGGAGTCTTCAAGAGGGAAATCTTAAAGGCGCAGGAGCAGGCTGTCTCTGTGTGCCAGAAAATGAGTCGGTGGGGAAGGAGACCAGCCTGGCTAAATAGGGACCTGTGGCTGGAAATCAAGAATGAAAAGAGAGTCTACAACCTTTGGAAGAGGGGGCAGGTCTCTCACGAAGACTATAAAGATGTAGTGCAGCTTTGTAGGGAGAAAATTAGGAGAGCCAAAGCACAGCTAGAGCTCAAACTAGCTGCAGCTGTTAAGGATAACAAAAAAAAGTCTCTATAAATTCATTAACAACAAGAGGAGGATTAGGGAAAATCTTCATCCTTTATTGGATGCAGAGGGAAACTTTGTAACAAGGGATGAGGATAAGGCTGAGGTGCTCAAGGCCTACTTGCCTCCGTCTTTAGCAGTGAAACCAGCTGTCCCCTGAGGTACACCACCTGAGCTAGGAGATAGGGAGGATATGCAGCATAAGAGGAAGTGGTTAGTGACCTGCTACACCAGTTGGCTGAACACAAGTCTATAGGACTGGATGGGTTACACCCAAGGGTGCTAAAAGAGTTGGCAGACGTGCTTGCCAAGCAACTGTCTATAATTTACCTGAAGTCCTGGTTAGCTGGGGAGGTCCCAGTGGACTGGAAGATAGCAAATGGAATGCCCATCTACAAGAAAGGTAGAAAGGAGGACCTGGGAAACTATAGACCTGTCAGTCTGACCTTGGAGCAGATCATCTTGAGTGCCATCACATGCCAATTAGAGGACAACCAGGGGATCAGGCCCAGTCAGCATGGCTTTTTGAAAGGCAGGTCCTGCCTGACAAACCTGGTCTCCTTCCATGACAAGATGACCCCATTATTGAACCAGGGAAAGGCAGTGGATATTGTCTATCTAGACTTTCGAAAAGCATTCAATACTGTTCCACGTAGAATACTCATACAAAAACTGGTGACTCATGGCCTGGATGGGCACACGATCTGCTGGATAAAGCACTGGTTGGATGGATGATCCCAGAGGGTGGTCATCAGTGGAGTTAAATCCAGCTGGCAGCCAGTGACAAGTGGTGTTCCGCAGGGCTCAATGTTGGGACCACTGCTGTTCAACATCTTTATCCATGACCTTGATAAGGACAGTGAAGGTATCATCAGTAAGTTCACAGATGCCACTAAATTGGGTGGGAGTGTTGATCTGCACAAGGATAGTGAGACTCTACAGAGGGACTTGGATAGCTTGGATCAATGGGCCAAGGTTAATGGGATGAGCTTCAACCAGGCCAAGGCCCAAGTCCTGCACTTGGGCCACAACAACCCCAAGCAAAGCTACAGGCTTGGGGAAGTGTGGCTAGAAAGCTGTCTGGCAGAAAAGGACCTGGGGATTCCAATAGACAAGTGTCTGAATGTGACCCAAGTGTGTGTCCAGGTGGCCAAGAAGGCCAATGGCATCGTGGCTTGTATTATAAACAGTGTGACCAGCAGGAGCAGGGAGGTGATTGTCCCCCTGTACTCAGCACTGATGAGGCCGCACCTTGAGTATTGTATTCAGTTTTGGGCACATCAACACAAGAGGGATGGCAAGGTGCTGGAGCAAGTACAGAGGAGGGCAACAAAGGTGGTGAAGGGCCTAGAAAATAAACCTTATGAAGAGCAACTGAAGGAGCTGGCGCTGTTTAGTCTGAAGAAGAGGAGGCTGAAGGGAGACCTCATCGCTCTCTACAGCTACCTGAAAGGACATTGTAGACTGGTCTCTTCTCACAAGTAATTAGCAATAGAACTAGAGGGAATGGCCACAAGCTGCAAAAGGATAGATTTAGGCTGGATATTAGAAAAGAAAAAATTCACAGAAAGAGTAGTCGGGCACTGGAATAGGCTGCCCAGGGGGATGGTTGAGTCACCTTCCCTGGAGGGGTTTAAAGGTTGTTTAGATGTAGTGTTGGGGGATATGGTTTAGTTGTGGACTCTGTAGAGTAGGATTATAGGTTGGACTTGATGATCCCAAGGGTCTTATCCAACCTGAATGTTTCTATGATTCTATGATTCTACAACTGAACAAAACCATCCTGGTGGGTTAGATGTGGGAAGGTTTGAAGGACATCTGATCAGGTTAGTCTGGAGCACTACTGACTGGCTAAAGACTGGGGTAAAAAAACCCCCTGAAATTAAAGACACAGTCTTTAATTAAAACTCAATAGCCAATGAGACTATTAAGCAGATGTTCTTTATTGCGGTGCTGGGAGACACACAGGGATATTTCCACAGCATATGCTCACCCTGTCTTTGTTCTGGTTATGTGCATTCACTACGTACATATTTATTACATTTCCATGAAAGAACTGTTGTATCTCCTCCTATCCTAAGAACTATTTACATACTCATTTCACTTTCCATTCTACCATCTTTATCGCTGTCTACTGTTACTTCTTATTTTGGTGTGGATACACTTTACAGTTAGCTGTGCTGGCAGCACTGCGCTGCAGAATTAAGACTTTTGTCCTTGAGCTCTTTTCTAAACAAGTACATAACTCTTGCTTTCTAATTATGAAAAGAGACCCTGACCAGCTGAATATAGCTCATGTTGGGAGTTTGTCCATGAGAATGGACAGATAAGAGGCTTCTCGTACACAAGATGTGCATGGGAGTGAATGTGAGAGTATGATCAAAACAGACCTGGGAAAGTCTGTTCTCCCTGTGTGATAAGAGTGTGATTGGAGGAGTACATGAGCTAATAACAACCTTGGCTGCATAGTCTGATCTCTTGTTTGTAATCCACAAATAGTGCTTCTTGCTAAGAAGTATAAATACGTGTGTCTGCCTGCAATAAAGCGAATTCCATTTTCCACCATCTCGGAGTTCATGTGTGCTTCTCCACGTTTTGGCCTGTCTTGGTGGTCGTTGGATGCCTCTAGTGGTCGTTTACTTCATCATTCCTCTTCCTCTTCTGTTCTTTCAGTGACCTTCTCCATTGCTTGGCAGATTCTGCAGTGAGAACTGGCTGCTGTTAGCTGCTGGTGATAAGGTTCTGCCTTGAAGCAACTGGTTTTTTCCCCCTTCAGTTACAAGTTATCTTTTCTACCTGTGCTGTGGTCCGTGGGATCCAAGGGTGGTGATCTTTCTTTTTCTATCGCTTTCCTATCTCTTTTCCTAGTCTTAACAAAAAGCTATCTATGGCAAGGCTGGTTCTTTTGCCCGCTAATGGCACTTTGTTGTGAGGCATGTTGATTGCACTAAGTGGACAACTGAAGTGCATTGAAGTGATTGAAGTTGCTAGTTCTTTGTTAATTGATTAAAAAAACTGATGTTAGGATCCTTGGTGTGACTCACTTCAATCCTGGCCTGGGAATCGGTGAACCTGAGTCATTGACCTGAAAGCTTGGGACATGATAGGCTTGCATGTGGGAGGGCAGTTACAACGGACACAAACTTCCTGGGAGCCACAATGGGACCCTAATGATCAAAATGATAGGGCAGCCCTTCGAAGATATCAGAATTGGACCATATATGGTGTAAGGCATGCGACAGCACAGATAGTACATTTTTCTAAAATATATAAAATACAACAAGACCACAGGAATCCCCTTCTGCCTTTTTTGGAAAAACTTCAAACAACTGCCCAAAAATATCCTAACCTCAATCCTGAAAAACAGGAGGATAAAATACAATTGGCAGTGATCTTTATGGGACAATCAGCACCTGATATTAGGAGAAAATTGCAAAAGTTACAAGGGGAGGATTCTAGGAATTTAAGTAAAATGCTGGAGGCAGCTTGGACAGTATATAAAAATAGAGAGAAGATAAAAGAAGTAAAACAAATCAGGAGAGAAAATCAGAGGGAAGCTCAGCTCCTAGCCATACTGAGCGAAGCCCCGAGGGGGAGGGGAGTGCCGAGGTGGGATGGAGGGGGTAGGGGGGGTTAGTGTGTGTGTGTGTGTCCTTCTCAGTTGACCCTTCAGTTACTTTGAAGCTGAGGAATGAGAATGTAGATTTTTTTTTTAATCAATACAGGGGCTGCATATTCAGTACTTAATACATATAAGGGAGCACTCAGTGAAAACAAAACCAATGTCATTGGTGCTATTGGGAAAACTGGAACAAAATTCTTTTTAGAGCCCCTGAAATTACAAGTAGGTAAACAATGGGTGATGCATCAATTCCTGTATGTCCCAGAACATCCAGCCAATTTTCTGGGAAGGGACATGCTTGGAAAATTGAATGCACATATTTCATTCAAAAAGGGAAAACATACCAGTAGAAGTACCTGAAATAAACTGGGCTGAGGCCAGAATTTTTGTGTTACAGGAAGAGATATAGACTGATGTGTCTCCAGGACTGGAAAAAGAAGTCAACGCCTTCAGCAACCCATATCCCAGAAAAATCAAGAAAAGCACATGCAGTAACAATTAAATTGAAGCTGGGAGCCAGCCTAGTAAGATTGAAAAAATATTCCATTCCTAGGCTAACTAAAGAAGGGATAGATGAGTTAATAGACAAATTTCTTAAATATGGTCTCCTGGTAGAAAGTGAATCTCCTTTTAATACACCTATATTTCCTGTTCAGAAATGCAATGGGAGTTATAGAATGGTATGGGATTTAAGGACTGTAAATAAAATAAAAGAGGACCTCCACTCAGTGTGGCCGTTATAAATTGAGGGAATAAAACCCAGGAGACAATTTAGAATTTAAGTGATTCATAAAATTTATTAAATTTAGCAAGCGGCTGAGTAAGCAAAACAGCGCTGGGCAGCGGGGAGCAGCTCTCTGCAAAGAAAGTTACTTATTCATTAGATGCTTATAATATTCATGAGCTATCCGAAAAAGGCACTCAGTTCCGGTGGTTGGCTGCTCCTCCTCTTGACGCTTGCGCAGTGACTCCTGGTGGTCTTGGGCAGGGGTCTTCAGGGATGAACGCCCTAGGTCTTCCTCACGATGAACTTTTTACCTTGGTTCAAAAACTAGTTGCTCTCAGCACATTTTGTAAGGTATCTTTGTCCTCGAATTCCACAAGGGGCTTTCATCACCAGATGGTCCTTGTTAGACACCTTTATCACTAGTGTTCTTGTCAATTATTTTTTGTTTTTATATAGTCTTACAGTGAGTCCATCCTGGCAGCCATAGTTCTTTTGCAGCTGGCACTAGACAGCTCCCCCTGTGTACCAGAAGTCTCTTCATTAACTGCCACCTAATGAAACAACCCTGACCTTGGTACCGGGGAAGATTATGGAGTGGTATGGTACATGTTTGCTTAACAGGATATTGCAGCCTAAACAACTTCATTTCTAGCACAGCATAAAATTTGATTAACAAATTCTATATGCCTTCTATTACAGTGGCAAATCCTTATTAACTGCTCTGGGTGGCAGCCAAAAGTGATTCTCAATACTAGACCTTGAGGATGCCTTCTCCTGCGTACCTGTTAGCCCAGAAACCCAACCAATATTTGCCTTTGAGTGGGAGAACTCTCACACAGGGCAAAAAACCCAGTTCACCTGGACAGTGTTGCCACAAGGATTCAAGAACAGTCCAACTATATTTGGTAACCAACTGGCAAGGGAACTAGAGGAGTGGAGATTGGAAAACTCTGAAGAAAGTCTGCTTCAGTATGTGGATGACATACTCATTGCAATGGAAGACAGGAGCCAGTGTTGGACACTGACTAGGGATGATGTGGACCTCAAAACAACAACCGCAGTGAATCCTGCCCTGTTTCTAAACCCCGAAGAGCCTGCTACAGATCTATAAGCGGTTTATGCAAGCCGACCTGATTTCAAGGATGAACCTCTGGACAATTCTAACCTGGAGCTGTACACAGATGGTAGCAGCTTTGTTGAAACTGGGATGCAGATGGCTAGTTTTACAGTGGTAACTACCAAAAGGGTACTGGAGGCAGGGCAGCTTCCAAACAGCACTTTGGACCAAGTGGCTGAGTTAATTGCTTTTACCAAAGCCCTGGAGACAGCTACCAGAAAGTGGGTAAATATCTCGACCGACTCAAAATACGCCTTTGGAGTAGTCCACACCCACAGCACTATTTGGAAGGAGAGAGGTTTGCTGTCTACCCAGAGCTCACTGATAAAACACCGAGAGGAGTCCCTGAGACTGCTACAAGTTGTGAAGAACCCCAGGGAAGTGGCTATCATGCACTGCAAGGCACACCAGAAGGGACATGCTCTGGTGAACATTGGTAACCGACTGGCAGACATAACGGCTAAACAGGCTGCAGAACAAGGGGTTTTAGCGTAAGTGCCTGTAAAGGTCTCTTGGAGCCCCAAGGAAAGTAAATCCCAGTATAACAACTCTGATAATTTCTTAGCAGAGGCATTAAAAGCCATGAAGGAGGGTGGCTGGAAAAAAAATGTAATAGTTCCTCCTTCTCTTACGACTGAGTTAGCAAGGCAAAAACGTCGGGAAACACACCGGGGAATTGAATCAATGTTAATTGACTTACAAAAACAGGTAGTGAGTGTGGGAATGCTAAAATCATGAAGTCTGTGGTAGGGAAGTGTGAGGTATGCCTAAAGAACAACCCCCTAAATCTTAAGAGACCACTGTGGCAGGTATTTCCTCCCCTCAGCTAAGCTGTTGCTAAGCAGATTCCAGGGAATCTGCCTACCTGGGCTAGTCCAGACTTGTCTAGCTGGTCAGGACTTGGTTACACCCAGGAAGTTGGCCAGCAGCCAATGAGAAGCCGAGATGGCTATGATTGACCACAGTCATCATTGGCTAGTTTTTAAAAAGGGGCTTTGCAGTGGCCATGTTGCAGTTACCTCGTGGCAGTGGCCTGAGGAGGTGTCCCCCTTGGTCTAGGGGATCCCTAGGCAAGGTCAACCAGGTGAGCATGGGAACCCCCACGTGGTAAAGGTACCCCCTGGCAAGGTTAAAAGGGAGAATGGGAATCCCCCCTTTTTATGGTACCTTAGTGAAAACAATCAAGACGAGAAAGGGAACCCCCGGCTTGATTGAGGTGAGTGTATGATAATCTGGATTATCATTCTTTTGTCTAGGGCTAGTGCGTGAGCTTGATCTTTGTCTCAACCGATACTGAACCTTTAAATTGGTGGGGAGCTTATATCCTGTAAATAAATTTAAATTTAACTATACGCGTGAATTTATATTTTTTCGGATATGGGCGCGCTCCTCACCTCCTTCTTTACAACCACCATTAGGACGTACCAAGCAGGGAAATTCACCAGGAGACTATTGGGAAGTAGATTTTACTGAGCTCCCCCCAAAACAGGGATATGGATATGTTTTGGTGTTTGTAGACAACTTGTCGGGATGGCCAGAGGCTTTTCCTGCTTGCACCAATGAGGCTCATGAAGTAATAAAGTCTATTTTAAAAGAAATAGCTATCCAGGACCGCATGGCTCTAGATATGATTTTGGCATCAAAAGGAGAAGTAGGAACAGGGTTAAATATGAGCTATTGTGTGAAGATAGACAAAGGTGGGAGAATTTTCAACAGAGATAAATGAAATTTGGTGACAAACTAAGATCTTACATGAGATCCAACAATTTGATATCTCCTATGGGTTTTCTGAGGTTTGGAACTGGTTAACATCCTGGATACATGATTTAGATTTGTGGCTGGAAAAAAAATAACTGGGATAATAATATGTATAATATTAATGTTTGGGTTTTTCATGTGCTGGGTATTTGCTTGTGTACCTGTTGTAACCTTTTGGGAGCCAAAGGAAGGAAAAATTACTATATCTGAAGTTGAGCTCTATTGACAAAAGTAAAAAGCTCAAAAGGGAGGGAAATGTTCAGTATTATAGACAGAGATGTGTAAAAGGGCCTCAGGCAGGAAAAATGATAACACCTTCTACAACGGTGGCTGGTACCCTAGAGGAGGCAACTGTTGTATGGGCTCCTCGACAATTAAGGACCATCAACTGTGTCATCGAAGTCTACCAAGTGGCAGGTACCGCACAGAAATGCATAGCTTAGCAGAGACTTAACAGATGCCAGTTAAGAAGGACTCCACAAGGGATCACCAGCAACCACTGGAGATCTCCAGGGAAGCCTTTCAGAGATCCAGGCCGCATGCATAAAAACTATGTGTATAGGATAATTAGTGCCTGGAAAGAGAATGAATAGGTATAATCTTTCTGGGAAAACCGATGCCGGTGTAGGCAACAGGAGGATATAAGCTTGGACAGGTGCCAGGTAGGTGGAAGTATCCCCCATGCATCCAGCACTGCAATAAAGGAACGCCTGCTTTCTAATGCTAAATTAAGTGTTAGAGAGTTCTCAACTGACTGGATTTTGGTAACATGATGGTAAGGCTTCCCTGCAGGAGTGGGTATGAGACTGGCAGCCTCCAGGTAAAGTCTCCCAAATAAGGAGAAAATCTCCTAAATAACAGTCACTCCATAGAATAAACGGACCATAGAATAAATTGGGAGAAGACAACTAAGATTTATGCAGCACATCCAAGATAGCAGCGATACAAGCTGCAAGGGAAGAAGCCTTGTGTCCAGAGCAGAATAAAAATCAATGGGAAGATGAACAGTGATCAAACTGCAAAAATTCATGCAGGAAAGCAAGTAGGAAAGAAGGGAACAAACGAGAAGTACAAAAACACAGACATGTTAAGGGGCAGATGCTATACAGCAACACTTGCTTTTATCACCTCTCTAAAAGAGCAGCGTTTAGTAGAGACACATCATTGTGTTCATACACAGGTAAGAAGATTAGCAATGTGATGTATATATTATGAAACATTAAGGAAAAAAGACAAATTCAATTCACAAGACAGCTCATGCAGGATGGAAATCAGAACCATAGGCTTGCTCTTGAACTTAGCTCTGCAATAGGACAGACATTAGTAAAGGCTTTACAAAACAGCTGACCAGAATAAGAAAGCCTATCAAAAGACTTAGTCAGAAACAACTTTCCATGTATTCAAGCCTTTACAAATTATTTCTATCACCATGGTGCCCTAAATTTTGCTGCAGCTTGACTTCTCTATTCCAGCGTTGAACACAATTTTTTTTGGTGATGGACACAAAAATTACTTTTCAGAGGGTGATATATGGTTTGCCAGATAGTACTTCTGGTGAACAGTATTTAGTTGTCCCACAGAAAGTAGAAAACAATTTGCCACGTTCCAGGTAGGCAACTGACATGAAGTCCACTAATTTAATTGTGAAATCTTCGTAATTACAATGTTTTCATCCTTGATATCTCTGTAAAGGATGTTTCTACAGCGGAGATACCCAACAGCTGATATAATCTGAAGGAAGAGAAAAGAACTAGCTGTTACTACACAGGTGTCCCTTTCTGGATAATCTACATGGCATCACAGAGTTCTGATAGTTACATTTTGCTTTGTTTTGATACTATATAAACAAGATATAGTACATAATTTTAGTAACTGGAAATGAACTCAGGCATACCTGTCAGCATTGCTGCTGTGAGTGTTACAGTGCTCTTGGGAGAGACTTTGCTTGTGTTCCTCTCACAAACATGCAGGAAGATGGCAGGCTACAGTCACGATGTACTTTGTTTTTTCATTAGAAGCATCAGAACTTACTGTTACAACGCTGCAGGTTACACTGTTTTTATCTCTGCTTCATTTGGAGGTTCCTTTGATTTCTCCAGAAGGATATTACTATGTGCCCCCAATACTGCAGGATGAGGAAGCATTTAAGGGTGAAGTTTGTTATAAATAATACAGTCATACTAAATTCCATTATTCTTTCTGCATGATTTAAACTATAGTGCCATAATTAAGAATAGCATCAGAATTATATCTCCTTGGAGACAATCACGATCCCTACCAAAATACATTTGAGCAAGAAAAGCAGATGGCTGAGGGAGAAAAGTACCTATTTATAGTACAAAGTTCCCTCTGAAGAGAAATACTGTATAGGTCTGAAGCAACAAAGAACCCCTACAAATTCAAGGTTGGTTTAGAAAAAGGGTTTATCCATCAGAAATCTGTGGACTACACACATCTGTGCCACATCTGCGCAGCAGACACAGTGTTGCCAAAAGCAGCAACTGCAAAGAAAGAACTCTCTAAACCAAATGATAGTTTAGAAAGCCAACATTGGTTTATTAGCAAAGTTGGCCAAGTTTGGATGCTAGATGAAACTAGCATACCACATCGAAAAACCACAACATATTTATTTTGTAACTTATTAGTACAAACACGCTTAACTTGCTACTAATTCTACAATTACTGGTTAGTGATAATGGTTACATTCATCATTGGTTCAGTATGTTAAAATTAGCTTTGCCTCTCTTGTAAATTAGCATGCATACTCCTTGTGGGTGTGGGGGCCAATTTTTCAGTGCTCTGAATTGAGTCAGTGGTCAAAATCTCTCACTGCCACATTTAATTCTGGCTCACTTTCAGCCTTGCATAAACAATTTGTGATGTTTTGGTACCCTCTAATTTCCATAATGAGGGTTTTGACTAGAAAAGCCCCGCTTAGGTCTGGTTCCACACACCCCCAAGGATGAACAGCTCATTAAAACTTCCTAAAAAAGTCTACTTGCTATCTCTAGGTGCACACTATCTTATTATCTTTTCTACTAACCACCTGGAAAATTTCTGTCACCTCTTCCCATCCTTGAAGCAGTATTCTTTGAAAGACTGATTTACCACTCTTAAGAGAGTAAAAATTATTCTGCCATCCTTTTGGCAACAAGAGGAGGTGCATCACTTGTCCTACCACCTTCCACCAGCATCCTAGGTGAGGAGAGTGTGGACACAGTGGTGAGTTCCCACATGCAAAGTAATCCTTGCACACCTAGAGCAAGGAATTTACTCCAAAACACACGATGGGAATTATTTGGGTACCTCTGCTATGGTCAACTCAATGAACAAAGGACAATTCAGTCCTCAGGCAAGCTCCTTGAGTTATTTTGCATTACACCACATTAACATCTAAGATAATTCCTTGTTTTTAAACTTCTTAAAAAGAGGAGAGCCCTTTATCCCTGTAACCCACCTAAACCAAGCATTGATCTAAGTGAAAGTGTGGCTTTTAGTGAGGCTTGGGGCAACTTCCATGCACTTTTCCCTCCTCCAACAGAGGAGATGTGACTGCTGCATGAATGGGCATCCTGGTGACAGGAGGTATGTGCTGCTACAAGCACAGCCAAGAAGCGATGGCTCTGTAGCAAATCCTCATACAAAGTAAGGACCTGTAAAGGTTTCTTTGTTACAAGTTTCTAAGTAAACCTTAAAAAGATTCCTGCAGGTAGCATTTCAGTTAGCTAGAAATCAAC